TCTCATTATCTTACATTATTTCTTTCATTCTAATAAAAAAAATGCCTACCTGCCTCCTGTGTCTCTTATTAAATACATATTTCAGGAAACATAGATGGATAGATTTGTAAAAAATTACACTTTATAGCTGGAAATGATCTCAAATTACACACACACACACACACACACACACACAAAAGAAATGCACATGTATTTGAAATCCTGTGACACTTTTTTTGTAGTCCCTACTAAGTATATTTTCTGGGACTTGGAAATTACAGGAAAAATAAAATTAATCTGAATGGCCATATGATATGCTATATTTATATATTCATTGAATTTTATACATAGTGAATACAGAAAACATACAAAACAAAAAGGCATTTACAAACAGGTTATCTCAATCTAATAGCAAAACTCTCCATTTCTCCCTTCTTTTGGTGAGAGAAATTAGCATCTATGTTGGTGTGCTGTATGCACGCTGACCTGTCCATCCTCCTATTTGTCCCATAGAAACAATTTTTTATTTTCACAATGAAAATTTCCTTGCATAGAAATAAAAATGTAATCACATTTTGTAATTTCAATAAAATATTTCATAGTATAAATTATTTATATTTGTTCAGTCTTTCCAATCATTTATTTAAATGTTTGAAAGTAACCAGACAGCTACGCTGAATTTTGTTGTCTCTGTAGTGCACCACAGAAATTCTTTTCCTGGTATACTCTTAAGTGTACACAAATAATTCTATCTTGTTCCTAAAATTAATTTCCCAGCTGAAATGCTTAAGGTATGCCACTGCATGTGGTATTGCTGCCTTCCGAGTATCTGAGAGAAGAATTAAGATGCTGTATTTCCTGACAAACATGGTAGAATACAGGCCATCAATTTATATTATCCTATGAGTGGCAAAAATATTTTAGAAAGTGTTCCAGAGTAATATCTGTGTCATTACTTCTTATATTTGTTTATCTTACAGCAAAAATATCTCAGAACAGAATGTCTTATCAATACTAAGGTGTTCTTCAATACTTGTCACTAGTTTTGAGAAGAATCAAAGAAAAATATAATATTTTACCATTTGTATCATTCTAAGTCCATGTTGCGAGACATAGTTTAATTCAGAAGTAATGTATAAGCAAAAAGTTTGAGTTCATTCTTTAGCTATCTATATGATGAAAAGGATAAAAGTATTGCTGTAATGGGTCTTAAAGTTTACAGCAAAGTAGGTTAATATCAAATTTAATATCAGTGAACTAAATATGCTATACTACTAGTAATAAAGGAAAAACAACTTACTATTAAAAATTTTAATACTGGAAGAGTTTTTGAGATATCCCAGAAAACAGACCATTGTTTTAACAACATTAGAAGAACTAAATCCAATGTGGTAAGAATTTTTGGTTGCAAAATGGATGACTGAAATGTAGGACAAGATAAAAGGTTAATTTATGAAAACTGGCTCTTATTTATTACTTCACAATCTCCAGACATTGAATATCCAGATTAGTTTTTGTGACTTTGTTGCAAATTCAAATATATAATAGGTACTAGGTTTTATATCTACTGATTTATTCTGTTGTTCTGAGATTAGTTCTTTCAGATTATTTAGCTGACAAATATGTATTTAAAATTTTTATTGAAAGATGAAGACAGAAAATATGCATATTATAAATATCAGATTCAAGAAACTTTGAGAAACAGAATATTCTTATACAAAGAACCATAATTCATTCACCTGACTTTATAGAATTCCATTATATAAACAAATGACAACTCTTAAATTCAAAGAATAATTTTTATGACTGAGCATCTCACAGCATTCTATTTCAGGGTATTATGAATAATGCTGACAAATTTTGTGTACTTTTCAGTATTTGTGTTGTTTAAAATTCTTGAGTATTTATTTGTTTTTCTATCTATGAATTAAATTGCTGTATCAAAGGATATGACATAATTGCCTTTGACAGATATGAAAAAATAGTTTACTTAAGAGGAATCAGGACACTCAGACACCATGTGAAATATTCAGTTGTTCTAAGCCTTTATTTGTCTCTTCTTTCCTCTCTTTCCTTAGGAATTTAATCTTTTAATTTTCTAATTCATATCATATTCCATTTATCTATAAAATAATGATAATTATTTGATTTTTATTAATGTTAGAAAACATTTTATAAATGACTTTATTATTTTGTAATTTTTCAGGCCTTGAATCTGATAAAATTTAGGAAATACCACCTGAGCATAGGAAAAATAAATATTTGCAAATATTTTTCAATGTTACATATATATTTTCTCAGCTCCAAGTTTTCTATTCAAGTTCATAGTCTTTAATAATATTAATTTTGTTTATCCTTTATTTGATTAACAAGAAATGTGAAAAGCGCCCTATAACTGTTTTGGTATATTTCATTCCTTTCAGTTGTATCAAATTAGTCTTGCTATTTTTTGGAGTCTGTATTATGAATATTCTTTTTAGATTGACCAAAATGTGAGCAAGTTTATTTCTGTTTATAAGTCCTTGATCTCTCATGACATAAATATTGTGCTTTAAACACTTGGAAATTGTGAATTCTTTTGTTGTCCTTTCATAAGTCTGTTGTACAGACTGCACAGATCTTTCTCAGAGAGACAGGCTGGCCACTCATCTGAAATGTAATCCATGAAGGGCTGCTTCCCTTTCCCCAATCTCAGAGAAATGGCAGGAGCCTAACTCCCCTGCTAGATAATCAGCAAACACACATGGCCTTAGAATAGTGACAAATCACCCTTCCAAAGTGCTCCAGCATTTTTTCTTAACTTTTATCCTATATTTAAAATCCTACAGTCTTGTTTCAGTGGAGTGAGTGAAATCACTGTCTCCTATTTCAAGTGTTCCTGCTTTATTAGGATAGTTATGATAGTTTAATTATATATTTAAGTAGCATGGTTCAAAACACACTGTGTTTTTCCATAGGGTATATATATTGCACAATGTTTAATTCAAGTTAAAATATTTATCTCTTCAAACAGTAGCCACTTACTTATGGTGAAATTATTTACAAGTATTTTCTCTCAGCTTTTAAAACTTACATGACTTTATTAATGTCTGTAAACACCCTACATTATAAGTAGTCCAGGAGAACTTTTATGCTTCCCTAAGTACAACCAGTAACCATCGGTCAACTTTTCCTTCTCTCCCCACTACTCTCCCCATTCTCTGGCAATTATAAATTGATTTTCCAGTTGCATGATATCAATATTTTTTGTAGTCCACATGATTGAGATAATTTAGTACTTATCTTCTTTTCTTTGGCTTATTTCACCTAACATCACATGCTCTAGAGCCACACATATGCTGTAAATGACAAGACTTTATTCAGTTTATGACAAAATAGTATTTCACTGTGTAAAAGTAGCACATTTTTCTTATCCACTCCTTTTTTGATAGACACATATCATTTTCACTTCTCTGATATTCAATGTGGACTTAGAGTACTTTGAGTTAGAAACTTTGTAGTATTTGCAATTTCAGGATTATCTAAATAGAAGACTCAGTGCTAGTATTGGAGGCTTTATTAGTTTAACTAGTTAATCCTTTCCGCACATAGAATTTAAATCAGGAAAATGTCTGTCAGTAGTAACTGGTTCTGCACCTATGACACCCTAAGTTCTCCATAATATCACTGTAATGTAATATTTCTGCAAATATTTCTTTTGGTTGCTTGGTTCTGGAATAACAGTATTTTCCAGGGAATAACAATGGATTTTATGCCTTGAAATCTGTCATAGATTGATAAATGTGTTCTGTTTTCACTCGATTTGCTTTTAAGGTGTCCCTTTTCAATGTCTTTTTTACTGTAAATTGTTAAATTATAATTGCATATGTTTTTGATATAAAGAAATTATGATGTATACTAGAAGTGTGAAGTTATGATGTATGCCTATATCAGGAATTACTTAATGAAGCTATCTAGCATATCCACCACCATTCATACATATTTTTCTAATGAGAATTTTTGATACTTATTCCTAGTAATTTTAAGTTGCACAATATGCTACCATTAAAGTAAGGCACTAAATCTCAAAAACTTATTTCAAAAGTCTAAATAAAGATTTGTAAAGTTAGACAAATATTTCTCCATTTCTTTATTCCCAGCCGCTGATAACAACCATTCTATTCTTTGCTCTAATGAATGCAAATACTTTAATGACTTATGTTTCAAAAGTTATCTTAATACAAACTAAGTCTGTTAACTCTTCTTAAATCTTACCACTTTATTCCATAATTTTGTGTTTCTTTTAACTCACTTGAAATTTATGCATGCCTAATTCTTTTGACTATATTCCACACTGTAATGCTCACCACACTGAAGAAATTTCTATTATTCATTCATTGTCATTAATATACATGGTCTTATCAATATTTAAACTTTATTTAGAGTAAATACCTATATACATCCACTTATCTACAAAATATGGACTATTTATTCAAGATGATGTTGAATATTAAGGTTTATGTAGCTAATAAGAAACAATATTGAAAATATATGTGAACTCCCACAAATTCAGAGATAACATAATAAAATCCATATACCTTAATGTCCAAATGCATCTAAATTTGTTTACAAAATAATCAATCATTTGAGGGACAGCACTCATAAGACTCTGTTCATGTATTGAAGGGATATAACATTTTGATTCACAAATGAAATTGAAAGACCCATAGAAAATTCCAGAAAGCACAAAGTATCAGATTATAAATTCTAATATTGAGAGGGCAAGAAAATTCATGAATTAAGGGACAACATAGCAATTCAAGAGCAGGTTAGCCTCTAGCATCAATGGCATTTGGCTGTGTACATTCTTTCACTAAAATACTGGATAACCAGTAATAAAGGTAAAGTAAACATGTAGCTTAAAGAATACTTAAAAACTAAAACCTTCTAAACAAAGGAATGATTCTTTCAAAATGACAAAATAGTATCTTCAACAGTTTTTCATCAAAGCATGGAGATATTTTATTGAATTTACATCTTACCTGATTCCTCAAAGTCACTGTTGTAGGCTTTCCAGGTTTCAGTTATGCGAAGGAGATTCTCTTCCATGGCTTGGATGTCCATGGAGGGGCAGTTGCACTCTGGAAACCTGGGACCACATTGACACCAGCAGTCATTATCCTTACAGATAAACTCTCCCTCTGAATTGCAGGCAATGTAGCTCAAGGCTGCTTGTACAAAACGCTCCTGAAGATAGTCTGGAAGGAGGACTTGAAGCCCTTGAAAACCAAAGCGATCAATCAGTTTGTTTTGTCAAAGAAAGTTAAGATTGTTCAAATTTTAGTATATTGCATTAACAAACCATGCATATTTAACACAGCATTCAAAAGTTACCTATCCATTAAATTAAAAGATTTATGATTCTTTCACTAAATAGGCTGATACTATGAATGTGGATTTACAGAAATTGTGCAGATGGATATCTAAATTTTATAAACTTATTTAATGAAATTTTTGATAAAATTAATCACAATATTTGGTTATTTTATATAAAAACAAATCTTCTTATATCTTTGAAAATATGTATGTGCATTTATTTTCTACCATGTGATTTCAACTTTAATTTTAATTTTTAAATTTATCTCAGAATATCAGCCCACATCAACACAAATACAACACAATTGGTTGTGATACAGAGTCCTGGTAAGAGCCCTGGTAAAGCTTATCCTGTGCCACTAACACATTGCTCATATAACAATTGTTAGGAGCAAACACTAACTCCAGAGGAGCAGATGGGCTGATGCAGTTACTTCACAGCTCATTTCCCCGGCATGTATGAAGATAGTCCTCGAGATATAGCTCATTACTTTTCTAGACACAAGTTTGATAAAGTCACTGTCGCTTCATAAATGCATCATAAATGTAAGAAAACTATGAAGTTAATATTTGAGACTTTATCGCATTTCAGAAGTACAGTTCTGATTTTAGAATTGCATCCTAAAAACTTAATAATATACATAGTCAAAGTAATCAGTGAGTAAAAATAAAATGGAATTTTGTTGTAACATAACTTTTGTTTCCTTCACTAGGAAATAGATTTTTTGAATCTTTATTATTACCTATGAGGTTAATTTAATAAAAAAATATGAATTGAAACTTGTGGGAAACCATTCTGCAAATGTATTGACAAAATAGATATTGTTTTCACATTAATCTCATATATATAGGCCAAAAAAAGTCCCTTAGGGATTTACATATTTTTATTTCAATTGTTTTCTATTTTGCCTCGCATAAAAGATAGTTAACTGAACATATGCTACTTACAAAATAGTGGCAATATTAGATATAAATATGAACAATAAGCATTTTGAATAGTGAATTTTGAATAATGCTTATTCAAAATGAAACTTTAACTATGTCATAATGTTATGGAATATCATTTAATGACCACCTGAGAAGAGATACTTGCAATTCTCTGGATGTAACTAATTGGTTAACTAATGCTTTCAGATTCAAAAGTGTAAGAATTTTTTATTAAAATACAGAATTTTAAGGTTTGAGTGTAGCACAGTTATACAGTACTGGTCTAGGACATGTATGTGAGGCCCTGATTTCAATAAGAGTAAGACAGGGAGAGAGAGAGAGAGAGAGAGAGAGAGAGAGAGAGAGAGAGAGAGAGAGACAGAGAGAGAGAGAGAGAGACAGAGAGAGAGAGAGAGAAGGAGGGATGGAGGGAGAGAGAAAGAGGAGAAGAGAAACAGAAAGGAAAAGAGAGAGAGAGAGGAGAAAGAAAGGACTTGAACGTGAACATATTGACCTATGACTCATTAACACTGAGACATTTAAGGCTCATGTGAAAGGAATAACACACTAACAACATGACCCACAAATGACTAGAAAGTAGGCAATTAAAAACAACAATGTTTTTCTGGTGTGAGAAAGCAAAAAGGTAATGGAGGACCAAAATATACAATAGAGATATTGTGAAATGGAATAAAAATGTTCAAATGGAAAGGGGAGCTACAGAGTGGGAAAGGGAAAGGAAGGAAAATAGAAGAAAAAATACTAGAAGAAAAAAGAAAGTGTTGTAAATAAAGAAGGGAGGAGGAGATGAAGAGTTGAGGGCAAGGGGAATAAAAGAAAATTCAAAATATATTATGTACAGGTACAAATTCTCCATGGTGAGTATTATCATCTTGTGTATCTATAATGTACACATAAAATTAACTAAAATAAATGGTAGGCCAAATTTAAACAATGAAATTAGCAATAAGTAATATTTCATTGTACACTGGCTAAACAATGAAAGTAATATTATTAGAAAAATAAATTTTCAGTGAAATGTGAACTGCATGGATTTCATTCATTTGGATTAAATGGCTTTTCACCATGTAACACATGCTGAGATCTACTTATTTGCAATTAAAAGATATAAAGAGGAAAAGGAACATTTTCCAAGACAATCCAAAAAAATACAAACTAGGAAAATGCTGATACAATGACAAATTACATGATAGAAAAGGAATGAGAATCTACTAGATATTATTTGATGCAGTGCAAGTAAAGTATGTCAAACGATTCAGAGGCATCAGAAAATAAATCAAGAAATAGTTTAAATATGTAGTTCTGTTGGTCACCAAATCACTGCACACTTTAAATACCCAGTGATTTCTTATGAAAAGACTGTTCCAAGTTCTAATCAGACTGTTTAAGTATGAATCTGTGACAGTACCTGAGTTCTGTCAGGTCTCTGTATATATTCAATAAAACATCTAAAGTAAATGCAATTGTGTTTGGGTTACATATTTTAGTGCTACTGATGCATTTCAACTTCAATTTGATAAACCAAAAAATACATAATTCATGAAATAAAATTATCATAAAGAAAATTGTTGCATTGATACAACTTTCAATACATAGATGGTAGTGCTTTTGTTGAAATAGAGAAATCTAGAAAAATAATTGAGGGAGAAATTGTAAGACTATATGGAGTTTAGTTTTACACATAACAGGCATTTCTGCTATCATGTATCTTTCACATACCCTGCTAAATTAACCATCGTTCATTCTGAAAACCACAAAAACATGCACATTCACACACACACACACACACACACACACACACACACACACACACACACTTTGGTGAAAACAGACTTGGGGAATTCCACTCAAATCTTCACTATTTTCTAGTCCTACAATCAACATATGTAAAACTAGCTGCCTAGAGAGATAGGTAAACTACTCCAAGTTAGATGTATGCTGCCCACAAAAATCATTTCTAAAAGGTACAAAAACAAAAGAATAGGAATACTGATAACATTCTCATTAGGGAAAGTAGACCTATTGCTACAGTTGAAGAAGTATGGAGCCTAGAAGTTTACAATAAAACCTAGAATATGGGTCAGGTAACTTCCACGTGCTGAGATCTATTAAATAAAATGTAGATATTTTCAGTGTTTGAGCACTAGATTGTTTTGAACAAAAATTCTCACTGGGAACAGCTAGCAAAGTTGCTTAAATATTAAATATAACCTTCTTGAAAGGATCAAATGTCTAATAAGGCAGAATTTCTGGGGCTAACATGGAAAGAAGAGAATCTTATAAAAGTGAGCCCAATAATCTACATATTTTCTCTATGGGAAAATAACAAAGTAAAAAGCTGACGCTTTGAACTAGCCATGTCAGAGACAGTAAATTCCTCCTGCTTTATGGAACTCAGAAGAATTACACAGTGAAAGAGAAACACAAACACACACACACAAAAAAAAAATACACAGACCAATCAAGAAAGCATTAACTTTCACCAAGTCAAAAGCATAGTTGTATAATTTAAATAAGTTCAATTAAAAGTAGATTGCTCATTTTAACTCTTCTATTATGAATTTCTCTGTATACTTTGGCTGCTAATTACTGAAAAAATGATCTGAAATTTAAAATAATATTTGTTAATGTATAATTTTCCTGTCAGTTTCATGTTTTCATGTTTTTGTCTTATGTATCTTGATGAAATATGTATTAAGTGAAATATGTATTAAGGCTTCCTAGCTGCTGTGCGTGAACTGCATTCCATATCATATTATCACTAATTCTTGTTTAAGTACAATTTGAATAGTGTTAAATTAATGTATTTTAAAGCCTGTTTTGTAGATTCAATGCTAGACTACTGTATATGCTTGCATGATTTGCTATTAAATCCGGGTTTTATATTTGGTATATTTTTAAAGATACTTGTATACTTTTGATTTCATAAATAAAATATTAACGAAATCTGCTGAAAACAAAAGTTTTCTGATGAGAAGATCATCCTCAATGATTTAGAATTCTCTTTAAAATCTGAATAGATAAAAATTGGTAATAAAATGTAGAGCTTATAAAAGGAGAAAATAACTTAAATAACATCAATTATTAACTGTAACAATTCTAGTCATAAATTCAAATGTGAAAAATAAAATTGTTTTTGACAAATAAGATATATATATATATATAATATATAATAGTTAGATGCAAATTCTGCATGTTAGAATAAGTAAATAAGAAGTATTGACAGAATAGAAATAGTGACGATAAAATCATTAAATAGAAATTTGTAATAAGAATATATTTATGTAGAATAATTAAAAGACAAAAGGCTATAACATACAGAAGACACCATAAAAGTTATGTATATCCTGAAGGAAAGATCTTAAACGTATTTAATTGGAAATCAGAATGTTAAAAGCGAAAGAAAAGAAGTACTATTTGTTAAATAAATTTAAAATAATTTTATACAACTGATGATAAACATCAGAATAACTTGATTATACTTTTCAATAACATGTTAAATACGACAAAACCTATGAGAAGATGACCAGTTGAAGTTTCCAATGCTGTTTTACTTATATATTACTTATAATTTGGAAAAATCATTATTCCTTCAAACATGAATAAATTTCAAATTATGATTTCTCTACTTCATAACATAGATTTCAAAAGTAATTTCTGTATTTTTTAAACAGAAACATGTAAAGTACTTAACATAACAATATTAAACCATTTTTCTACATACGAAGCAGAATCTAATCCTAGTGAGTTGCCATATAATTTAGATAAAAAATATAGTTTGAATATTAGTGTGTATACTACATATATATATATATAATATATAATACATATAAACATACATGTATTATATACATGTATCCATATAAAATACATGCATGGCACAGGCATGTATAGTTTTAAGCTCATATATATATATATAGATAGATAGATATAGGCCCATATGCATATATATATACACACATATATACATATATATATGCCCAGATATGTATTCCCTACTTGAATTGCAATCTTGTTTCACAACCTCAATGTATTTTTTGTTTAAATATAATATTTTAATCCATGTCTTTCTTTAATCCTGGTCATAGTTCCCTGATGTATAAGTCAGTGACTTAAAAATGTATGCATGCACATACATTTGCTAACAACATAATTTGTAAATCACATAATACACATCCCTTGCCAATTTCTACTCATTTTATTAGACTGACAGTTTCACAGTTCAACCTAAATCATTTTCATACTTCTCAATTTTATATATCAAATTGTTGAAAATATTAATTGTGATTAATATGCTATATTTTATAAAGGGGAACAAAGAATTTTTATGAAGCAATATAAGTCAAATTTTGTAGCAAGCCAAAAATCTCACATACTGACTTGACTTTAAAACATAATAAACAAACTTATAATGGCCTATTCCAATGTCAATTAGAAACAATTGTTCTGAAAATTATTTTACACACAGTTTGTAAAGATTTTTGGATGTCACAATCTGAGAATTTTACTAAAAATCACTACCAAGACTTAAGTGAATTTAAATTACTTCTGTTATTATTTTGCCTAGAAGCAACTTGCACATTATGTCATGCTTAAAAAGTGTGGGATAGCATAAATTTTACTCACTTGAAATATAATTCTTCTAAACTTGTACATCTAAAATCAAAACTCTCTTTTAATGCTTATGTTTATATTTCCATAATTTGAACTTGTAAGCATGACTTCAGGTTCCTTTTTCTTTTTCTCTTTTTTTCCTGGAAATAGAACTCGGGACTTCCCACCTCCCAGGTAGGTGCTCATATCACTGAACTATATCACTGGCAGAGCAATTTCAGTTTTTAGAAAAATGTCCTCTCTGTAACTTTACTGGCAAAGCCAAATTGTAAATTCAAACAAGTAAGTAAATCAGTTTATTCACTATCAAAAACCATTTGATTTCACCACTTTTACCTAAAATTAATGTGTTACTTGCATATTTTTGATGGAATGTGTTATATTGAAATTAGAAATAACAACTTCTTATGTAACTCAGATCATGGAATTTTGCTCTAAAGTTTTGTCTAATGTTGTCTGGCTTCAATAATTATATGCTTTCTTTGGTTTGCTTTCACAAAACTTTCCTAAAGAAAAATTTTTGTTTTCTTCTACAAAAGCACAATTTTGGAAGATGATTTTTACAGGAAACCTCATAGTTCTAGAAGGTTTTCAGTAATAAAGTTGAATTACCAAGGTCCCCAAATAATCCTATTTTGATTTTAAAAATTCGCATTCTTCCAAGAAACAAAAAGTTTTTGTCTTTCTGTAATCTTCACCCATATCCATGCATTCATGTAGCTAAATATCAACACAAAGACCTAAACTAGTACTTTAGTAAGATTCCTTGAGACTATCAGTACTTTGAGCCCCAAGTAGTGATCTCAATGTTTTCCTCTTCAAATTAATGAACAGTATTAATATTGACTGGTAAATGTAAAGCAGTTTGCATTTTTAATAGGATAAAACATATTACAAAAATGAGTCTGGGGCTGAGTATACACTCAGCAGCACAAGCAACTGCCTGGTAGGCACAAGATCCTGAGTTCAATTCCTGGTACAAAAAACAAAGCAAAACAAACAAACACACAAAAACACAGATTCTGAGTTGGACTGTAAGTAGTTGTTAAATTCAGAATATGTAGAATATTGAGGATCTTGAAATTGATTTCCCAAGATGAACTTAGAAAGATTTTGCCACCCTCAGGGATTCAAATAAAAATATAACATAGAATTAAAGCACATATTTGGCAAGTAGAAAAAAATAGAAGACAAAAGTGCAAGATTCTGAGTAAAATTATTTGAAAATAATAGAAAAGTTATATGTGATGTTTTGTCTATGTCTTTTATAATTCTTCTAAGATAGGCAGCTGATTTTTTGTTTTTAAAATATGCAATTATTCTGAAACTTTACAATGAAACAGATAAGAATCAACATCTTGCTAATAAGTAGTCTTTTAAAGTAATCAATTTGAATAACAGAATAAGTCCAAAACTTTTTATTCATCTTTGATCAAAATTAGTGTTGTTATGGAAAGTGAATTCATACATTAAAAAGGAATCAGCCGAAGAGAATTACAAGTAACAGTGATCTGTTGAGCATCAACTTAAATTAGAAAAATATTTTGCAAGCTTTGAAATTAATATTGATAAACTGTTTAGCAATTAATGTATTAAAATATTTGCATAGTTTCTTGTTTGTTTACAATTCAAAATAAATGGCATTCGTTCATTTTGACTAATTAAACAAGACAATGTAGTTACATTTATTAAGGCACGAAAGTTGAGAACAAGTGGAATTTTGAAAAAAATTCAGCAGTTATATGGAAAACTCAATAAAAATAATTGTCACCTACAAAATTCCAAAATATATACTACAGAATAATATCTCAAAATTTCTGTTTAAGTATACAAATTGCTTTAGAGAATGTCATCTTTTTCTTGATCTAATTCTGCTACTATATGTGTAAATACCTGTCTTCATTACCTTTCTTCACTTTAAGGGTGAAGAACTGCTTATCTTCATGTTCATTTAGGAGACAATACGTATTTATTCATTTTTATTATCTAAAAACACTCTGTTGAATTATTAGTCAAAATACTTTATGATAATAGAAAAGTAGACTCCCTATCCTCGTTACATCAATATCCATAAAAGAACAATGTCAATATAAATATTTGTTAATATCAAGCATATTTATACATATCAGAAATAAGGATTCTGTTGACTGCATAGAGGTGAAGTCCAAACAGCTTTTATGCAGTCAGAACATGTAATCACATCTTTTCCAAGCGTACTTAAGAAAAACAATGTTAGGAAAACCTATTAAAAATAAGTACTCCTTGAGATAATACCATAAGTAATTAAATGCATAAGTATAGTAGAAATCTATGTGTAGCAAATGTTTAAACTATTTATTTTTTTAAAAAATTATGAAACTAGCCTTTTTGAAGTGGTTTAACAATCTATGTTGTGTGTGTATGTGTACATGTGTGTGTGTGTGACTGGTTTATTAAAAAAGAAATTATATATTGATAATTTAACATGAAAACTATCAAGAATTAATAAAATTGATTGAGAATTAATTAAATTTTACTTACATACCTTGCAACTGGATCTTATTCTCAGGACTCTGAACCAGAACAGAACTGACAGAATCTAGGTTGTCATAGTTACTGCAGCCAAGAGGACCAGTCCGTGTTTCTGTTACCTGGTGAAAAAAACCCACTTTATTATATAAGTCATACTTTACAATGTTCTCTCAATACAACATAGTAGTCACACATCATATATTTGATGGTTAATCCACTGAACGATTTAAGATCTGTTACACACCGGTAATACACGTGCCTAAGTACAAAGAAGAGCAGTATTCATTCAACTTCATTTTCTATCCCTTGGGTAGGCATATGTCTTCTGAGAAAATATTGGAAGACTACATTGGTCAAAATATAGCTCATCTTAGGTCACTGTACAAAATACAACTCATCTTAGGTCATTTATAATGATGGCATACTATTTAAGATAGAATTTTGACTTACATATAAGTTGCATTTTTTGATCTCAATAAATTGAAGCCATTGCTAATCTGCTGTCTAAAAACTGATTTATTGTTTTACTCTTCTGGTTAAGAATATTTTTTTCACTTTTCTAACGGCATCGTGATCTTAATTCCATGTCTTTGCTTATATAAAATCGCAACTCCCATCTCACCTTGAATAAAAGTGTTGTAGTCAGGCTTAGCAAGGAAAACAATTTAATACAGGATACATAATTTACCCAATTATTTTGTTATATTTACCCAAAGAGTCAAACGCACACACAGTGCTGGAAATCTGTCCAGACACTAAAAACCCTAAGAATCCTGCTGAGTGGCTGGATCACATGGCAGTATTCTGCATGAGTCCAGCTGAAGACCTAGCGTTCATGATAATGACCCCTACAAGTCCATTTGGAGGCCTAGAGCCCAGGACAATGACTCATGCAAGTCTGTTTCATGGAGCTGTGCTGGGAATGCCCCAAGGTCAGAAGTGGAAGCTAGAAAGACTAAGCCAGGGAAATGCAGGATCTGTGCCAGTAGATGAGGGTTCTGCACTGGAGCCAGGAGGTGATGCTCAAAGTAAGGACCGGAGCTGCCCTGAAAAGTACCACAGCCATCCTTAGTGACAATGAGGTCCTGAACTCCTGTAATGAGAACAGCTGAGTTCATATCAAGAAGCCAGTGTATATGCTTTTCCTGGAGACTGAACAGTACACCATTTTGTGATGCTCAGAGTAAGAACCAAACTACCCTCAAAGTGAATTGCAGCCATTCTCAGTGATAATGTCCTGATCTCCTATGACAATGAGAACAGCCAATTTCATACTAGGAAAGATCTGCAAGTTCTTTCAGGAGAACCAACAGCAACAGGAGAATCAACAATACAACCTGTTCCTCTGCAGGTCTCCTTTTCATGTTGTTGGCAATAATCTTCAGGTCGGCCTTCCATACCCCGGGCCACACTGATTTAGTTCAGCTAGTTGCTCACGAGTTGTCAATCTACCACATAAAGTTTTCTCAACTTTGGCAAACCAATTGTATCTGTCCTTCAAGTAGCCACATGAAGTATTCCTTCATGTTTTAAATATTCAAATCTTACTGTGCAACTGTGGTTTTCAAAGAACAGTCCTAGTACTTTGTTAAGAAATCCCATACTGTGGACTGAATTTTCCTTTGATCTCTTGGGATGGATAGTATCAGAAAATTATGAATCTAAAGTTTAATCACTAGACTAAAATTAATCCTTAAGATAAAATTTTAAAAAACCATTTTGAAGCAGAAAGGTATACGAAAGATATTTCTTTTTAACTATATATTCTGCTCTCACTATCAATATTTGTATATGTATTTCTTTAAACCATATTTTCTTTGTCGCTTATCTTATTCTTTTACACAGTCATTACTGACTTCCAATTTGTCATGTAATTTGTTTACCATGAATATTTTGATTTAATTCACTTGATTACAAGAGCCACAATACAGAAAATATTTACTCCTTTGCCCTTCAAATACCACTAGTATGTCTTTACCATAAACTATAGAAGACTAGCTAATGAGGAAAAAATGAACCGAGGTAAAGAACAAAGTTGTGTTTAAGATGATACCCTGAATTAGGCGGTGGCAGTAAGATGTATCTAAAACCCAAATAATGAAAAACAAAATTGGCAAGGTCATAACACAATGAAAATATATAATGATCAAAAGAAAAAAAACAATAAAATTATTATGCAAGAAATAAGGTTAAGACAGAGATGAAAAGAGAACCAATGTGGAAAACACCTAAGAGATTTGTCTGAGCCAGTTGACACTCTAGAAGAAGTACCTAGCAGAAAGAGAGAGTATGTTTGTCTGCTTTTTAGCAGCTACTTCTAACATGACCTTGGTAACATAGGGATCATCAAAATCATAGCCAATAAATAAAGATAGAGAATTAGATGCATAAATATCTGATGTATGATGTTTATACATAATTTGAATCATGAAAACTATCATATTTTCCAAATGCTAAGTCCTTGACAGTTGACAATGTGGTTTATTACCAGTAAGGTATTACTTATTCCTAATTTACAATGACTTTGAATTATATCTTGGTCACTCTCCCATAATGATAATAAAAATAACAACTCATTTTGTTAAGACAAGCAATTTATTATGCTATCTTTAATATACATGTTTTTATTTTAGTCTACATTTATATGGAAATCTCAGTATAAATCAAATAAAGACAGGAGACAATTAAAAGACATCAAATGAAATATTTATCCAGCAATATAATTTAATGCCTTCAATACATAAAAATGAACACATGCAGAAATAATGCAAACTCTTACACATGTTATTTCTAGCATGTTTCTAAGCAAAATTGGCTTTAAGAGCATACACATTTATATCTTGAAAACTGGAAGGCAATATTGTATCACTTTGTTTTGGTTTTTCAGAAAAAATCTTGCTTAGTTTCCCCAGCTGGCCTTGAATTCATGTCTCACCTTCCAAGTAGCTATAATTAATTTTTGAATGAGAATAAATATTGCCTTTGTATCCTAAGTGGTGTCTCTCTTATCCTAGGTCCATCATTACTGTGTCTTGATATTAGTGTAAGGGAAAATAATTAGTATATAAATGTCCTGGTTATAATGTCTCAGTATATATATATATATATATATATATATATATATATATATATGTTGCACACATTTCTCACTCACCATTTACAATAATAAAAGTGCATCGTCACACTCCTAATTTTATTTGCTCATCTGTATTCTTACAGCTGAATTTGGTGATTCTGTACAACTTGATATAAAAATTTAAAAACTCATCAGATTCTATGCAATAAGCCTACTTATTTATTGTATCATGTTTACAGATCTCACATGTGTCAATAATGTCAGCAGTAATAAAGATGACCATACAAAGTTTATTTTAGTGTAATAATTAAATTAACATAAATAAAAGGAAAAATAAGTGACAAATTATTAAACAAACATATCAGTAGAGGTACCGATCTGCCAAAATTGAAGTATATAAATGTGCCAACAAAGAGTTGGATTTTTTTTTTGGTCTTTTTTTTTTTTTTTAATCGGTACCAGGGATTGAACTCAGGGCTGCACACTTGCAAGGCAGACACTTATGCTGCTGAGCTAAATTCCCAGCCCCAAGGTTGAACTTTTGATCATCATCTGATATATGAAAGTCTGATTTGAGGTGCTCCATATATGAAAGAAGATGTTATTCAATGGCTAAGCATAAAAATGATTAAATGTGGCAAATTATCCATTACTAATTGTAGCCAAAGTTTAGAGAAACGGGACACATGATGAGAAAATTGCTTTGTTTATTAATGGGACAGGAGATGTTAAAAGCAAAGGGACACACAGCTTAGAACACAAAGAGGATGGCCTCTGAGGTATTACATTAGGAAGCAGATGTAAATGAAAATCATGTGCAAACCTGTATGTTCTTGATTGGCTGGCCAGGCGAAGGAAACTGGAGTATATGGCTTTGAAGATGTAGAAGAGAGGGATGTGGGATGAAAATTTGATAGTTTTAAAAAATTTAAGGAAAAATAATCTTTTAAGTATCTCAAGAGTATTTTTAATTCTATTCCTGACATTTTGTGTAAACAGAATGCAAATTACATTTAAAAAATAAGTAAGAATGCAATATATATATATATATATATATATATATATATATACATAATACATATATATGTTATTCTTTCCACTTCACCTACTTTCAATGAATTATTGGCTATTATTTTCATATTTGGAGAACCTTACACAGAGCATAAAAATTAAAATTCTTGATTCAAACATTTGTCTCATGAATCGATATATAAACAAATATAGATTTAAATATGCTATAAATTAAAATTTACTTAGAAGATAATACAATGTACATTGATGATTCAGTAGAAAATGAATAATATTTGCTACTCTGCATCAAATTTCTCTCGGTCTTGAACATTCAAAGTTGATTTTTGCCTTAAGGTTGTTATGCTAATTATGTGCATCGCAATTTTGAAATTGATTCAATTACTAGTCGAAAAAAACCAATCTGAAACATAAAAGAAAAACACAACAAAAAAATTGAAGAGTAACTAAACATAAAAACATTTAGATTCCCAAATGGAAATAGTTCACTTAAAAATCTTATTGTCAGAATTTAGAGTTCATAAATATAAAGTGTTTCCACAACAAATTCTAATATTGGAATTATTTTTTAAAAGTAAGTCAAAATGAGTATATTTGGATAACACTTATACTAGTGGGAACTTTTCGAAGTTTAAATTTCTGTAGATAAATTTTCTACAGAGTAGGATGGGTGTGTTGTGAAGGTAAATTGAGATAATCTATGAGAAGACCTTAACATTCCAACATAGTGATTTCAAATATGTGTCAGATTACTAAATGTTTACTGTTGTAAAGAATGTGTAATGCATGGGGTCATGTGATTTAAATGCATGAAAATTATCCATCTCCAAAGCCTTAATCAAGGTCATAGTACTTTTTCTTATGGCATCACAATATGTTAATATAGTCCTTTATTGACCTGCACTTTAGTAATCTGAGATCAAGATTACATTAGAACCATACTATGCACACTTCCTACTAAGATTACTTCAACACACAACTAAAGCATAATATAGTAAGAAGAATGTAAATAGC